TGTGTAGATCTACAAATGTGATGGAAAAAAACAGCATATCGACATTTCTGGTGTGAAGTTAGAAAAACTGGACGCAGAGACGGTTAAACTATAAAAATATACCAGCTATCAACCAGCAATGATGTTACCAGAACTGCTGAAGCATGTCGAGGTCTCAGGGCTGCAACTAATTTGAATTATTGTTGAGTAGCACAGTTTTCTTAAAGTTTAAGCACTCGTGTGCAACTAAATGATAATGGAAATGTCGTGTATGGAGCAGAGGATTCATGAAAGCTTGTTGAAATCTCGAGTGTCACAGTTTGTAAAGTTTTTAATGGACTTGTTAAACATTTCCTAACATTGTTGGAATTTGAGCCCAAGCAAGTTCACTGCACAGACAGGCAGAGATCCTTTGCAGAGCACGACAGGGTTTTAGAGTTTAGGCCGCAGAGATCCAAGCACAGGTTTGTCTGAGCAGAACTCCTTCCACCAGGATGGACGCTCCAGCACTTTGCTGCCCTGCATTACTGTGGACCACAGGTGGTTGTAAATCTGCAGGAAGAGGACAAAGGAACAGTGTTTCTTCACGTATTTAACACGGATTCTCACGCTTATTATCTGAGATTACTTGTGTTGCGATGTAGCCAAATGTAAATAAAAGTAAAACGTTTCAATGTCCTTGAAATTTGACGCACAGCAACGTTTTTACGATACAACTGGATTTTCTGTGTTTGTATGCGTTTACCTGTCCATCAGCGCAGCCAATAGGTGAGTTGAGGATGAAATCAGTGGGTGCCAGGACATCCACCAAGGCTACTGCATCATCCTTTAGCTGTGAGAGAGACGGAGCAGATTTTACAGTCAGGCCAAGCCATCATTTCTTCAATGTCCTTCTGTTCTAGGAAGATGTTCCCAAAGTACAGGAGAGCACAAGTAAGGCACAGTTAGACCATACGAGTCAGTGCGTAACTACACGGTCCAAACGATGGATGGAGCCGCTTTGAGGTCACTGACAGATTCTGAAGCTTTGAGTTTTTTCGCTGTCTTTGTGTTTAGAAATCAAATGTTATGAATCACAAATCTGACTGAGACCCAGGATGCGGCCTTCTCCGGTGGACATGTCAATCAAAATGTGGACACGCCCTGAAGCATACCAGAGTTTGACTGGTACCAAAACAGTCAAATGTCACGTTTAAGATCAATGTGTAAGATTATCTGCTTTACTCTGTCAAAGGAGCCACTCGTGTTTTTATTGCTCGTCTCTTAACTCATAAATGCAAACAGCTGAATAAAGAACAAAAACACGACAGTACGAAATGCACACGTGTGCGTATTACAGCAACCACATTTGTAATTGCTTTGATAATTAGTGAAGCTGCGCCCTATACATAGGAATGTATACGCATTTCTATATACTTCCTGTATATCTGCCATAAACAGTACCTGGGAGCAGAGAGTGAGGATTGCCATCTGGACCAGCTCAGCAGGCTTACGTCCACTCCAGTAACTACCTAGAAACAACAACACTGTGTTACATCACTACGATGAAGATTTCTCCGGGTATACAGCATCGAGCCCACTACATACCCTGGTACAGTGTCGCCATGTGGCTGCTGAGGCTCCACAGCCCATACAAGGCACAAAGTTTCCTTAATACTGGTCTGAGACCAGCTGGTGTGTCCTGATTAGTGGTCAGCTCATGAAATCTCTGCAGGCAGGTGTGCTCAATGTAGGCCATGGCCAGTGACCTGCAGTAGTAAACCTGTACACATACACATACATTTAAGTACACTGAAGACATAAAAACACAGAAACAGCTGATTTGTAATCTAACCACGTGCACGTGTTCTGGACGTGTCCATCCGCAGGCCCACAAAACTCCTCTACAGGAAGCTGATTCTGGCTTTTTAAAAAGTCTAAACCTCTGATCCTCCGAGTCCCACCAGTAGATAAAGCAGAGTTTAACTGGAGCCAGTGTGGGTAAGGGGCCTTACATACCTGCTCACCCTGGTATGAAGAAACCTGACCAGCCTAAATCAGATGCTATCAGTCCCATCTGTTAGCGGTAGCTGCCCACTTGTTATTTCTGGGAAGATTTCAGTAGCCTGGACAGCAAAGAAGGATGATTTTTTACCTGCATTTGTCCCACTAAAGAATAATATTCAGACTTCTACGTTTCACCAAAGATGAAAAAGTGAACGTTCACTATTTGAAGCAACTTAGCACTAACAAAATAACAATCAAATCACCTGAACTAAACTTATTATACTATACTGACCAATCTGCTCTGAGCTCATGCTGACTCTGTTATGTTTGGTAACAGGAGGTTGGAGAAAGGATGAGCACAGAACGATCCTGTTATTGCAGGCCGAGGATTCACCCGACAGGACAGCTCCTGGACGTATGATGCAAGTCAAAATCCTTCTGATTTAAGCTTTTAGCACAGAACAAATGAGCAGACAAAAAGCCACAAATTAGAAAATCACGTCACAGGTCGGACTGCAGCTCCGCCTCCACTGCTGCCATGTTCAGCTGTGACCGTCTGAGATCTTCTGAACTGCTCATCTGACACAAGATAAAAGGGAAGAAGCTCAAATCTATTTTACACCCCACCATGGTACCTGCTCACCCTTTCTCCCCCCTCTCTCCTGCTGGCCGTCACATCTTTGCATGTTGACCATCCAACCATGTAACCATCAGTGTCCACCCACATTTATTCTACTTCTCTCTGACTCTGAGATTAAACTTTAAAATCACTTCATTACAGTTTCTTTGCTTTTCTCAAGTTCACATCACACTGAAACATTCAGTCACATGTGGCTTCATGCTTCACTCAGTTTATTCTAATTAGATCTGTGTAATTTGACACAAACATTTCTGTAACATGAACATCAACTCAAACACAGAGTGAGACTTTCTTTTACTTTTAAAACTCTGTTAGGTTATTTATTTATTTCAGGCACGTTCTTGTTGCCTAAAATAAACTTCTCTGTAAGTCAGACGCTCTCTGACGTTAGCGTGTCGCTTTCAACCTCATTCTGCACCACACACACACACACACACACACACACGGTGCAGTATACACAGTACTGCAGATACAGGCTAATGTCTGCATCATGGTGCTGCACAGCCTGCTATGAGTATTTGTGACCTGATCTGTTTACTATGATTTACATCCTGAGTAGACGATATAAGGTTGGAGCAGACAGACAAATCTTAGAGTTAGAGGCAGAACATTTCATAGTGTTCAAACTCTTTTCCCCAGACCATAAAAGCTTCCTGCTGACTAAGAAAAAAGGCAACCAAGTTCCAAGGTCCATCACTGACAGCAGCACAGGCTGTGTCAGTAACAGGTCATCTCAAATACTGGGTTCATGCCAGTCTGGAGTAGGTTCATCTCAGATCGATGAATCCAAATCAAACGACCTTTAGCTCAGTCTGATTTAGATAAAAAGCATCAAGTTTCTGTCCAAACTTCAGCCAGTGAAGCTGCATGTGATGCTGAATGCCACCAGAATCAGATGTTTGGGTGTGTGTGTGTGTCTGCACACAGTCGTTGGTCTTACTTGGCAGTTGTTACGGGCTTCAAAGTCATCGTTGCCCGACGCTCGCTCTTGTTCCAGCTTCTTCTGACTCTCCTCCAGCAGGAAACACACAAGCCACTTATAGGCTGCCAAAGGCACTGACAGACAAGGGGGAGGATGTTAGCTACACTGGAAAGGTTTCAGTAATACAGTCTGTAGTCAAGCTGAACCAGTCACAGCAGAAAGGCAGATACATTTACATGTTTATGGCCAACTATTATAAATCACAATCAGGCAGCTTACAGTGCAGAGAAGCAGACACATGCGGCTCTATCAGTTCCCCTTTTTATTTATGTTCCTTTTTTCTTAAATGTTCCCCACCTCCCCTCCTTTGTAATCACATCGATGGTGTTGGGTTAGGACCATGCAGTGTGGGGTCCTCTCAGACCCACAGCAGAGGGCTGAGAACTGACCCCAGATCCTGAGGAGGGAGCCTGTTTCTTACTGGGTCAGCAGGGAAATGAACTTAACTGGTGTTTGTGGTAAAGTTCGTCATATTTGCTCAATTAAACTGTTTAACTTTAAACAAAACTTAAACAACAGATCACAGTCAGACTGCATTTGTTCATTTAATGTAAAGCTGAATATCAGCGCTAAGTGACTAAAGTTCACTATACTCTCGTTTGTGGAACATATTGAAAATTACACATTTACCTCATTTGCAAATCTCGCTCTGTTTTAAAAGGTTTAGTATATAAGAGGATCTGAAAAGAAGGAATTCCACTATCTCATGTAAAAGTTGATTGGAAGCTGTAGCAGAAAGTAACGTACCTGCAGAATCCACACAGTCGTCCACTGTGAGTGCAGTGAACCTGCTTTTGAGGATCTCCTGAGACTCCTCCAGAAAATCCACGGTGTGAAAGGGAGACTCAATCCGCACACCATCTGAGCCCCCATAACCAAACACCAAAGAGAGAAGCTTCAGTGACTGACCCAGCCCATCTATTGACCTTTACTGCAGGTATTTATAATCTGCTGGTGAACAGAGGACTGACCACGCTGTTTTGCATGGAGCCAGGAGAGCAAATAGCTGCTGGTCTGTTGCAGCAGTACGTTGTTGTCTCCTTCATATGTGCAGTTTGGGTCATTGTCATCACGCAGGTCACCCAGCCGATTCACTGAAATAAAAAAGGAAACACTGACGTATACACACAGTGCTGTGCACAAGTGTTAGGCAGGTGTGAAAAATGCTGCAAACAAAGAAAGCTTTCAGAAGAAATGATGGTTTATTGGCCCCAAATGTATTCTGCAGCAGGACAACGAGCCCAAACACACAGCCGGTCATGGAGAGCTATCTTCAGCGTGAAGAAGAACAAGAAGTACTGGATGGTCCGGCCCCCACAGAGCCCTGATCTCAACATAGAGTGTGTGTGGGATTACAGACAGAAGGATGTGAGGACGCCGACATCCACAGCAGACCTGTGCTTAGTTCTCTGAGATGTTTGGAACAACCTACCAGCAGAGTTCCTTTAAAAACTGTGTGTGGACATAGAAGAAGGCAAAGGATGGTCCCACCAAAGATTGATGTGATTTAGCTCTCTCTCGATACCTACTGCAACCATTACGATCTACACCACAGCAGCAGTGATCAGTGAGATGCTTGGCTACAAGCTCAACAGTCACACAGAGCAGTGCCCTCCATAGAGAAGGAGACTAGAGGCTAAGCTCAAGGTAGCACAGAGGGAAGTTAGCCAACTATCAGAACTGCAGAAAGGTGCAACAAAGAAGGTGCCTAACAAGTACAGCAAGCTGTCCATTCCCGAGTTCTTGGAAACTGCCAAGCAACGACTCACAGCCTTGACCAGCCAAGGAGGTTCACCAGAGAGACAGAAGGCAGGAGAATGAACCAGCCGTTCTCTACAGAACCATCCGAGGTGTTCTCTGAGTGACACGAGAACAATGTTGCTACAAAAATGGTGAGAAAAAGCCAATTAACAGTGGAAGAGAGACAGACCATCATGACACTTAAAAATATAGGTCTTTCCTCCAGAAATATTTCAAAGAAAGTCAGTGAATCGATTCCTTCACCATCAAAGGCACTCAGGAACTGTGACAGGAAGAGGTCTGGCAGACACAGCTGAATCAGAGGACAAGTTTCTGAGAGTTAACAGCTGTGTGATGGCGGCTCACAGATCAACAGCTTCAAGCGTAATAGCGGTCGTAGTGAGCAAGTCTCAGCTTCAGCTGTGAAGAGAAGACTTCGAGCTGCAGGTTTGACAGGACGAGCTGCAGAAAGAAAGCCAGACGTCAGACTGAGGCTCGTCTGGGCCATGAAATGCTACCATTGGACTACTGAAGACTGGAAGAAGGTGTTATGGACTGATGGATCAACATTTGAAGTCTTCGGTTCGTCACACAGGATCTTTGTACACCGTCGAGCAGGTGAAAGCTCCACAGTGTGTGGCATCAACTGTCAAACATGGAGGAGGAAGTGCGATGGTCTGGTGCAGTTTGCTGATCGGGTCGGTGACGCGTACAGAGAGAGAGGCTCCCTGAACCAAACTTTAACTTTACTGGCAACCAATGAAGAGAAGCTAAAACTGGAGCGATGTGTGACCTCCTGTTTGTGCCAGTTAAGTCTTGCTGCAGCATTCTGCACAGTCTAAAGAAACAAGCAAAGAGACTTTTACAATAATCCCAACAGGACGAAATAAAAGCATGAAGAATCATCTCAAGTTCTCAAGATCCTTAGATCAGGGGTCTCAAACTCCAGGCCTCGAGGGCTGGTGTCCTGCAGGTTTTAGATCTCACCCTGGGTCAACACACCTGAATCAGATGATTAGTTCATTATCAGGCCTCTGGAGAACTTCAAGAAATCTTGAGGAGGCCATTTAACCATTTAAATCAGCTGTGTTGGATCAAGGACAACTTAAACCTGCAGGACAACTTAAACCTGCAAGGACAACTTAAACCTGCAGGACACCGGCCCTCCAGGCCTGGAGTTGGACACTCCTGCTTTAGATGATAAAAACGGCTCTGAACCAGCCGTTTGGAGTGATGCTCTGTTGAACTGTTGAATATGACACTGAGGTTTCTGAGGTCCGATTCAACAGAAGAGTCTAAGAAACTGATATGCTGTCTAATACTGAAATCATGTGATTGGGAGCAATAATCAAATTATTAATATTTTCATTCATCCAAAGACAAACATTTAAACATAGGATAGATTTTTCCAGAGGTGCCACTTTGTCTAAAATAGTTACACTGACTGCTGAAGGATGAAACCTTTGAGTCCACATCACTAAGTTTAAATCAGCATCAAACACGGCAGAGAACCTTTCAGCAGCATCCTGGTTTATAATTCATCTTGGAATAAAATGACAAAATAAAAAATATGCAGCTGTGGTCACTCACATGGAAACCCTCCACACAAACAGCAATTATAGTTAAATCCAAGGAGAGAACAAGGACCAGTGTGTGTCCTTTATATGACTGGGACCAGAAACACGCTGCCTAAAGTGAAAAGATTCTGGATTTTTGGATTTTGGCCTCCCTTTTATGGCACTGGTTTGGTCAGGATGCACTGTGCGTTATCTTCTCTAATCTTTTTTGAGAGGGCTTTGCAGATTATTGTAAGCTCAACATTAATATATTGGACAATAGCTGACATGCAGACTTGGATCAAACCAATGTTCTGATTAGTAGATGACCTGCCCGTCCTCCTGAGAGACAGCCAGCCCTAAGTGAGCATGTGCAGGAGTGACATTGAGACAGAGAGAGACTGACTGGCCAAGTATCCGTGTCCACCACAGGCCTCCCGGCACTCCTGGATGCCTCTTTGAGCAGTCCATGATCCCAGTGGTTTGCTGGAGCAACCAATTGCATGGATCTCTCTGCCCATCCCTGCCTGAGAAACACATATATATTCAACTTTACTTCATAAAAACTAAAAACACTCTACATACACACATGCTGCATGCTTACTCACTGTGTCACTGTTGTCTTTCAACATCTGTCCAATCTGAAACTCAACAAAGTTCATCAAGATGGATTTGGTGAAGTTTTCAAGAGCATAGGCTGCCGCCAAGTACGGAATCAGACGCCATTGCTGGGAAAACACACAATAAGAACATGGAATTTAATAACAGCAGCCACACTCACTCACTTACTTACTGTTGCTGTTCAATATTAAAAAACATGATTCCCACAATACACTGATGGACTCAGGAAACTAAGAAAACAAACCTTATTTACTCTGCACTGTGTCAGCATACAGATCATTACATAAATCGTTACTGTGTCTGAATCCTTCTTATGAGAGGATTTATAATTTCTGGATATTCAGTAGTTGAACTGCTTTCACATCTTCATTAACAGCAGTGTGACGGTGTGTCCCCGAGGAAAGATTCAAAGCTTCCAGTCCAGATTTTATAATTCATCCAACTGCAGTCGTTTGTTTTATTGTTACTTGGCATCCATTTCCATAATGCATAAGATATTTTAATGATTCAATTATACTTTAATTCCAATAATAAAAGCCGCACACAATAGTGATGTGACTGCCACAAACAGTAACTTTAAATCTAAACAGAAACTCACCACAGCTCAGACCTAACGCTGAAAATAAGAATGAATAAAACAGCTCTGACAGTGGTTAATATTAATCTATGGATGGCTCCTAAGCAATGATTATTTAGTAAAACCGACCACGTTTTAGTCGCTTCAGCAAGGCAAGCTGGTCTGATGGGCTCTAACAGTAACTGTCAGCAGTCCTTCAATCACAGTGCTCACATGCATAATGTGCACAGCTTCCTCATTCTGATAAAACCAGGGATGCAAAACTCAACCTAAGGTCCTGTTAAAGGTTTTCACACCACTGTTATGTTGGAGCAGTGGTGTGCATGTGCAAACCTTTAACATTTCAATCCGAGCTCCTCTCAGTCGGCACTAAATCAACATGAACCAACAGCTTCTCTGTTACTATCAATAACTCTTCGTTTCTTCCTCTGTGAAAAGCTTGGGTGTCATCCTCGACAGAGCTCTTTCAATTCACACATTAATAATGTTAGTCGGTCTGATTACTTTCAATTGCGCAACATTAATCGTCTCCGTCCTTTTCTCCGCCCACGTGGCTGCCATTCTTGTCCACAGCCTTGTTACTTCCTGGACTGATTATTGTAATTCACTTCTTTTTGGTCTTACTCAAAAATCCATCCACAAGCTCCAGAACTCTGCTGCCCGTATCATCACCAGGACCCCTTCTATCCACCACATCACTCCTGTCCTGCAGCTTCATTGGCTCCCGGTCAAATATCGCATCAATTTCAAAATACTCTTGTACACATTTAAGGCTATTCATCATCTCTCTCCTCCATATCTCTCTGATCTGGTTAAGATCACCGCCCCATCTCGTTGTCTCAGATCTACTTCTTCCCTTTCACTCTCCGTCCCCTCCCCCCGTCTTGCCACCATGGGGAGCAGGGCTTTCAGCTGCTCTGCTCCACGACTCTGGAATTCCCGACCTCCTGATTTAAGAAACATCTCTTCCTTCTCTCTCTTTAAGTCCCAACTCAAAACTCACTTGTTCAAAATAGCTTATCCCACATAACCTCCCACTCTGCTCTTTTATTAGTTTATGTCTTATGCTTTTGTGTTGCTTTTTATTCTACTGTGACCTTGAGTGTTCTGAAAGGCGCTTTCAAATAAAATGTTTTATCATCATCATCATATCATTATCATTATTATATTATTGTTATTATTAAACTAACCTGGGGATTATAGATTACATAGTATTAGTACACTCTGGTGTTATCTTTCACATTTTGTGCGGCTAGCTTAGTGCAGGCAGCACCAATGAATCAGCTGCTAAGAGATGAGGCAGGAAGTCTAACTGAAGGCAGGAAGGTCTGATCCCCAAGGATCCTGAGAAGGAACTGGACCCGTCCATCTGCTGGCCAATAACCTGCCTCAGTAACACACGGGGCCTCCTGTCCAGCATCAGAGGGGCAAACATGAGCAGGCAGCTCGCTTACTAACATGCTGTCTATCTGCTGATTCCAGGTCTTTCTGCAGCTCTCCACAAGTAGTCACTGACTCTTGGACAACTCTTCTCATATTTCATTTCACCCCTCTGTCTGAAGTCTTGCACCTGGTCGTGGACGGTTTATGTGCTCACTCGAGCCTTCAGCAGTTTGGAAATTCTCGATGACATCAGTACGTTTCCCAACAATAAGGTTGCAAAGGTGTTGAGAAAGCTCCCTGGGGTTAAACATCGAGAGGTTTCCTGTGTGACACCTGCTTATGAATGAATCAGCTGGTATTAATGTTGATATCGTGGCAGTGCTGTCTTCTAATTACTGACAGGCGGCAGCTGTCAGGCTCAGTGTCCTAACTTTCCATGCATTTGGCACCTCACTTCCTAACGTGTTCAACACCTTTCCCCCGTTTCACATGTCATTTTACACGTAGCTTAATTCATAGACATTTATGGTTTGATTTTTTTGAGTAAATTGAATATGTTGTTCCCAACATCTAGTGAAAATGTCAAAAACACCTTTACAAATGTATTTAGTTAGAAAACTGGGTGAAACTTATTTTACCCACCAAACGTTACCTGTACCTGATGTTATTACCTGTAACTGGTACTCTAAAACAGGGATTTCCTCTGTGTCTGTGGGTCCAAACTGTCTCCTGGCAGCTGAGAAGCGGATAGCCACTGTCAAAGCTAACTTCAGGTTGATAAGAGCCATCCTGGTGATATACACTCTGCCCCCTGATAAGGCACCAAGAGATGCCCCAAAACGCTTTTTAGGGTCCTGGAAGAGACAAAAGAGACACTGATGAGGACTGATTAAAAACACAGCAAAGACATTATTATTAGTCATTTATAAAATGGCCGTGTGGTCCTTCACAGGATTGCTGAATTGTGTTTCTGAATATGAAAACATAAAATGATTATTTAACTGCACTGCTAATGTTCTTACACAAAATCAAAACTTAAATGTGAATTCATTCATTTCTCGATCCCACAGTTCCAGCAACTACATGCCATTCAAATGCTGGGCAGGCACAGAGTACTGACAGAAATATACACACATGCCTGAATATTTATGCCAGTAATATGTGCTGCTCTGTTCTAAACATTTCATTTGATTATTAAGGTCAGTGAAACCCTGCTGTAGGAGACGGCCTGAAGCTTCGAATTGAATCGACCTTTAAGCACCGTGTCACAGTCTGCTGATGGCAGAATTATTACAGCCTGATTACAGAAATCAGGCAGGGTAGGATGTTGGCTTTGTTAGGGATCTGTTAAAGATCTTTGTGAAGGCGCCCATAAGCTGGTCAGCACATGCCTTGAGTACAAAAACCATCAGAGGCAGCAGCCTTCACTGGGTTCACTGCACTGGGCACTGGGTCTAATGTGTTTTTCCTCTGTTGGCACATTCTACGTACTGTGAGTCCGTCTTTAACCATGCTTTGTTAGAATCACCAGCACTGATGAAAGCCCCGTCCACATGTATCTGCATGTATTTGGTGATGATACTGTGCACCTGGCATTAGCCATGCTAACGTAACCCAACCGCTGCAGGAGCCCTCCTATACCCTGCACCCTGCACTGCGTGGTGTTGGATGAGGGTGCACAGCAGAGACGAGTCGGACACAAGTGTTCGATTTGTGGCTGGACTGCACAGTTTATTCAGACTAGGGTCGGGCGATATGTAATTTTCCAACCAACACCCGTCAGTCCAACAATCGCCCATGGGCGATATATTTGCACATGCGCAGACTTTTTGATGGGCGGGGCAATGTAATTATGCGCAGACGGATTTGCACATTTACAACACAGAAGAAGTCAAACATGGACGAACTAGTTTCCAAAAACAAAAAACCTCGCTGTCAGCGTTAACGCGGCTTAAACGCAGTCATCACGATTAAACATGTTAACGCGTTCGACACATCTGGAGCGCAGAACGAACAAACTTTGGACAAACTGCTTGAAATGCGTTGACAGAGACATTTCAGGGATTGAGACTCAGTCTGCGCTCCAGATGGGTTAATTGTTAATCGCGTTAGTCATGATGACGGCGCATTAACGGTGACTGCACAAAAAAATTTAAAGTCACCAATTTGGGGTTAAACAGGTAAACCTGAGGATGTAACCAAAGCAGTGTGCCACTTGTGCAGACGTATAGTCCGAGCAAAGTACTCAGACACGACTAACTTGCATGAGCATGCACGTGTCCACCATCCGGCTGAGCATGCTAGGCTACCAGCAGCTTCTGCAGCTCCATCGACGAGCATTTGGGCGCTCTCTGAGGAGGGGCATGTGTTCGCAGATGAAAGATTTTATTTTTTCTGTTGACTGCTTCTATTAGCTCCATCATTATTAGCAAACTTACTCATGAGCAAATAAAGAAAGAAATCGCCCTTGTAAAAACTAGTCAATATATTCGTCCAATCGCCTGACCCTAATTCAGACACCCTGGCATACAACAAACCAATTCTCCCGCTGGCACCAATCACAATGTTTGCTTAAACATTAAAATTTGCTAAAGATAAACAAAAATAATGCCAAATTTAAAAATCCCATGAGGGGCACCACTAGTGGTGCTTATCTCACGAAGCCGTCACAGTGAACACAGAACCAAGAACTTCAACCACGGTGTCCTTTGCAGGACAGATGCCAGAAATTGCTTAAATCTACATGGTACATGCATCTCAATATGTGATTGAACTACCCTACATCCACCTTTAGTTGATGGTGTCCTAGGCATCAAACAAAACAATACAACAAAACCCACCCACTGAACAGTGACCACATGGCAGTCACAATATGTGTGACTAATGACTGATGGTGTTCAATCAAGTGTAATGAGAAAATGTGTATGTGAACCACAGGTGGGTATACTTAGTGTGCTATGTACTAGAGATGGCACGATACCACCGATACCGATATCATAAATTTAGATATCTGCTGATACCGATATGAATCCGATAGTGTTTTTTAATAAATAAAACAGTTTTTAATATCTTGCTGCATTTTGCATAAGTTCATACTCAAGTTTAAATAAACAACAACACTAAAGCTACTCTGTTATGTTGTGGAAATATTAAACAAACTAACTAATAGGGTTGCAAACTTCCTGCAAAAAAGAAAAAAAAGAAAAACCCCGCCTCGTGATGCTTAATCAATGTAATCAACCTTAATTTAATGCACTTGTAAAAAAAAATGCACAGAAATCAATTATTTTTCTATAATAATTAAATAGATTCAACATCTTTCTTCAACAGAACTGCAAACTGCACAGTCAAGTATTTCTTTGTGCCCCCTTTTCCCTGTTAATGCCCTACCTGCCCCCCTGGCAAATCCAGTAATTTAGGTCAGTATCGTGCCGATACCGATACGTAATATCGGATCGGTCCATCTCTACTATACCACGATGGCGGCACACACAGTTGGAGCAGCTTACGGCTCTCCGTCTCAGTTCTGCTTTCAAAATTTGCTGCACCCGCCAGAGCCTCTGATAAGTGGCCTGACAATAGGTTGGAGATGGTCCAGGATGAGTCTTTCCAGGGTCTTCATGACGTAAGAAGTCAGTACCACAGGTCTGTAATCCTGGGGGTCTCCGGGACGCGGCGTCTTTGGTACAGGATTGAAGCACGATGTTTTCCGCAGCAGTGGGACCCTCAGATTCAGACTCATCTTGAACAGTTTATGAAAGACTCCACAAAGCTGGGGGGGCACAGGGCTTGTGGACGTCGGGACTCACCCCGTCTGGTCCAGCAGACATGCCACTCCACACCTCTCTCATGCTGCTGGAGTTTCCACTCCACCTTTCTTCTGTAATTGTTCTTAGCCTCTCTGATCTTGCCCTTAAGAACACCTGAACCATTCTCACCTCCTCTCTATTGCCTGCTCACCCATGGCTTGTTTTTTGGGTAACAATGGACCGTCCGAGCTGGGACAATGGACTTGAAAAGGTTGTGTTGATACACTCAGTAAGCTCATTGATGTCCTCACCATGAATTTCACAGAGTCTCTCCCAGCCTATCGCCTCAAAACAGCCCTGTAGTTCTGCTAAGCCCTCCTTCATCCACCTCCTCATACTTCTAGTGGTCACAGGCTTGCCTTTCACACAATAGGCACAAAGCGGGGAGCGAGATGAATCAGGTGTTGGCTGTGGGGTTAGGCGAGGGAGGAACATAAAGAGCCCCCAACTTTCTCCAAAAGTTGATTCTGTTCATCTGTTCGTAGCGTTTTGTGGGAGAAACGTTTCGTCTCTCATCCAGGTGACTGCTTCAGTCTCAGCTGACTGCAGGTTTCCAATCTTATAAACAGTACATTTGCATAATGACTGAAACCAGCCCACTGAAGGAACAACATTACATGTGGGGGGACTCCCAGCAGCTTTCAACCGCCGGTTGTCAGAAATGCCGCTTTCAGCCAGCTAAGTGACTGTATCTCTACATTTACTGTTGATAAGTTTTTAACCGCTTATAATTTCAATAACTTATAAATAATTAGTTCTTTAAAGAAAGAGCATCTCTGAAATAAACCCATTGTTCTCTAGAATATGGTTAAAGGTTATATCTAAAAAAGCTAAGGCACAGGAAATCAGGCTGTTGAGTTTGAAGTGCCTTCTTTGGCTGCCACTGGAAATCTGACCTTAAATGGTGTCACGTAGCGACCATCAGGAGTCAGATCTCCGGTCTTATTCAGCAGGTTCTCGCGTGGGATTCTCACATTGTGGAACATCGCAAACCTGTTGTGAGAGAAATAAATGTTACAGAAAAGAATTGTTACACATCAAAGAGCGAGCCATTCAGTGGATCCTAATGTTTCTTTGTTTTTGGTGTGCAGGCAGGTCAGGCAGATATTTATTGTTGTTATCATCATCATCATCATCATCTTTTTTTTCTAATTTTTAGTCTTATGGCACCAACACATTTAACAGAAAACAAAAGTTGGGACGGAGGCAACAAAGGACTGTAAAATGAGGTGGTACATTTTCTCAGAAAGTAAAGATGGGCAGAGGTGGAACCATTTCTGAACACTGCTAAAATAAAATGGTGAATTTTATGAATATCACCATCTACAGTACAAAGTGTTAACAAAAGATTCTGGAGCAGTTTTCTTTTGTTAACACTACATTAACAATCCAATATTGGATGACCATCATCTTTAGGCCACAGGTGGCACCGGATTACATTCTATTATTTACAATATAGCGCAGGGCACTGAATTGGGTGATTCCCACAAAGCTGTGGTTAGTAAGTCAGGTCATATTCTCCAAAACCAGAGACCTCCAGGAATAAATGGGTTTTTTCAAAATTCTCATCACCAGTATGTGTCTGGATCAATTTTATGTTTTTCGTTAATGTCATAAAAATCCTTATCATATAAAACAGATATAATTCTGCCAAGCTATGTAAAAATCTCTATATTTATGCCTAATATTAATATATATGGTATTTAACCAAAGAAAATATTTGAATTTATTGAAAATTACTGTGTCCACGCTAAATGTTTCTCATCACCTGCTCAATAAAAAGTACCGTGTCCCTTTAAACTGACCAGCAGTCCCACAATGCATCTCTTCAATAAAATCCAAAATGGACATGTGGTCAGTTGTTCCCTCTTCTCTTACTTTGTGATGTTTTTGTAACGTTACTGACTCTTCTGTCGTTATCATTACCGATATGAGATTATTCTCAATACTTTTTTAAAGGACAACATGCTATGGAGCGTCTGATGGTCTTCTAATCCTGGGTGGGGTACTGTGGATCCAATCCGAAGTAAAGTCCGGGTTCAGACTGAGGCCAACGTCTATCAGTTCCTGATGACTTAAAGTAATTAGTGCGTTGCAGAAGGACACAATCTTAAAGTCTTACTCTTTACTGGAAGCATTAAATTACTTTGGTCAGAAGCACATGGATGGTTTATTATCCCCTATGTGCTGATGCTTAGTTGTATCTGTGGATAGGCTTTGCTGGTTATTACAAGGTCTGGACAAACACACAAACATGATTGGACTTTTGCCCTCAGAGCTCTCTGATCCGTCCCTTCCTGGGAGGCGCTCTCACCTGATATTGGCTCTCTGCAGTAGAGTATCACTTACTGTTCCTTTTACAACACTAGTGGTATTTTTGTGAACCTTATCTATGTAGCCAGTTTAATTAATAACTCATAACATCTTATTTTATAAGTCTAATCTTCATGTGTTTTATCTTGTTCGATCACCTGCTTTTTTCACAGTATTCATTCACGTTGTCTGTAGGGATTCACCAGCTTAGCTTAGCTCGTAGCCAACTCACTAGCAGCACCTCCACCTGTCCCTTCTGCACTTTCCTGCTCAGTGCTCCAAATGTTTAGTTATGCACAGCTACTTTCAATACCACTGATATTTAGACTCTTTGTCCAATTGATCATCGAATTAACTTCAACAATTACTTTCACTAAACCAAGGGTTCAGTTGAAGAGTTGAGGTCATTCAGCCATTTAAATCAGCTGTGTTGGATCAAGGACATCTAAAACCAAAAAAGACCTGGATGACCTCTGCTTCCACATTCAGATAAAACTGAGAAATCGAGGAGGATGAGGATGATGATGATGATGATTTATTTTTCACTTGCAGTTGCCTGCAGCGAAATTAGACCTCTTCCAGCCATACATACATTACACAAACGTCACATCGGTGAGACAGGTCAGAACAGGTAGCATAAAGAAAAACAATGAAATGTCCCCTCTTCTTTTTGCGTTATCAATTGCTCCATTGGTGATTAAGCTGCGAGCTGACAGTTGCATTAAGGGCATCATCAGAGCTGACCAGGAGCACAAAATATCCTCATATGCTGACGACCTCCTGCTGCATATGTCAGAGCCTTTATCTTCTCTTCCCCGTGCTCTCGCCATTTTTGAATGTTTTGGCAAACTTTCAGGTTACAAGTTGAACCTGCATAAAAGTGAACTTCTCTGTGTCAACTCTGTAGCCAGGAAGGTTTCATTTTCAAATTTCCAATTTAAAGTTAAATCAGAGTATGTGACCTATCGGGGGTTAAGGTTACCCACTCATACAAAGGTCTTTATGAAAGAAACTTTGTCGCGCTGCTTGAGAATACGCAGACAGATCTTCAGAGATGGACCAGTTTACCACTGCCATTAACTGGCTGCATCAGTTCTACCAAAATGAACATACGACCCAAGTTCCTTTACTTATTTCAATGTAACCCATGCTACTTAACACTAAGCATATCTCTGCATTTATTTGGAATGGCAAAAGTCCACGAACTCGTAAAGATTTCATGCAGAGGACTAGGCCAAACTTTCAGTCTTATTATTGGGCAGCAAATATTTGAAATATGCTGCACTGGATGAGTAGTTTCACTACAGAGACTCCAGCTTGGCTCCAAATTGAGTCATTGAGTCAAACGTGCCTATGAGCTTTGTTGAGTGCAGCTCTCCCATTAGAACTGTACGACTATAAACGTAACCCTTTGCTGTATGACTCGCTCAGAATCTGGGTGCAAAGGTTTGGGTTACACTTAATGTCAATTAAAGCACCGATCAGCTCAAATCATATGTTCCCTCCATGATGGACTCTGCCTTTAAAATACGGGAAAGTAATGGCCTTAGAAATATCAAAGACCTTTGTGTAGATGGGATTGTTGCCTCGTTCACGCAGCTCCTGAAGCAGTTTAATGTTCCTCTGGAGCATTTTTTACGCTATTTACAAATTCTCCACTTTGTAAAAAGTCGATTTCCTTTATTTCTGGAAATACCTGAGGAAACGTCTTTGGATAAAATTATTAATATAAACATTCATAATACCGCCCACCCCTAAGACACAGTCATACAGTCTACATGTGTGGTTAAAAGGATTCATGAAGATAACTGTAATGTTCTTTCAGGACTCTGAAACACTGTGTACCACTCCAGCAGACCAACAACTCTACCTGGTGACTGCAATAGCCAGTGAGAACATATTTCCACAACATCAAGGGCATCATGTCTTTATTTGCTTGTTTTCCATCTTATTTTACAAATGCAGCATGTGCAGTCACCTACCCATTATCCAGTCCGTTCTGACCCAGCTTCTTCCCCATGTCTCCGACCAGCACACCAGGCAAAGCCAGCAGGGTCTTGGGATCTCTCAGCTGGAGCAGAGTGAATACAGCTAAACTGGCTGTGTCAAATAATACACAAATCTACACAAACATCTGAAAATAACACAGTATAAGATACCTGCAGTATGACAACTCTGCTGATCATACATGATTTCTAACGCTTTTAGAAATCGTGGTGTTCAAGTCTTTTCAGACAGTTATCATTTTTAAGAAATAATGAAAATAACACACCATTTTGCTTTTATTTAAAATAAATAGTCTTTTGTATGCATCTTCCTTTTTGTAAGGGCCGTGCTGCCCACGTTGTAGGTTATGCACAGCGCACAAGTGAGCGATAGCAGAGTCCAGGCAGGGTAGGTTGACATGAGGATTTGTGACAGAAGAATAGCATTAAGAGTGAAAAGGAAAGGTTTATCTGGTGGACGTGAGACCTGCTGACAGGATGACAAGCTGGAGGTGGCAGAGTGGAAGATACTAAGGCTTCTTTATTGAGAGTGAAGAGAATAGACCAAATTAGAAATGACATAAATTAGAGAGACAGCACAGGTCAAGCATTCTGGAGACAAAATTAGACAGACATGCAAGCAACAGGAAAAGAGGAACCACAGAAAAGATTTACATGTCCTCCAGTAAGGGAAGACGTGTAGAGGGCTGCTGTAACGAGAGGATGCTTGGGACGGGGTGAGACGGAGGCAGATATCTGCTGTGGTGCAGCTGAAAAAAAGTTACTTGAGGGACGCCATCTGAGCTTGAACAATGATCAGGTACTAGAGATGAGCAGAGCGAGGCGCGTACGGAGGTTTCAAAACAATCTGAATCCCATCTCCACAGTGACACCTGCTGGCCAATGTGGCTATTGCAACCCTGTGAAACCGTAACACAGACAAGTCCAGCACAATTCCTAACAAAGCTACTTATTGCACCAGACTGTCAATAATGGTGACCAGCACACACTTTGGGGAAATCCCCGCACAAACAAGGCAAGAAAATGAACAGGGATGGGAATTGAGAAAAGCAGTTCCCAGTAGTCCAATTCCTTGGACTTGTTAGTCTGCCTATCGATCCAGTTCTAGCACTCGCACTACAATCAGCTGATTTCAGTCTGCGGGTCAGAGGAGGAAAACAGCGACACAGTCTAGAGCGTGGATATGGACGTTTACATTTATTGCACAAAAGGATGAGATAAACGGTAAAGTGGGACAGAAACAACCGCAGAATGTTCCTCACACAACTTTGATTCTTTGCAAGCATCTGCCAATAGAGCATGCTAATGCTAAGCTAGCTAAGAACACAGAGTGAAAGCTGAATGAGTGCCGAGCCCAGCAGCCATCTTTTCTTTTTGCAGTCAGCTTTGAATTCTACTAAGACAAAGACCTTAGAGATGGAAGATTTGTGCTGGCGTGTGGAGTTGTAGCCTCGTTGTTATTTTTATTGTTAGCTTTTTTACAGAGCAACTTGCAACTAATGTAACAAGTAGTATAATAAATATCCTTTTCCCAGGAGTAATTAAGTATCATACTGCATTACTTTTAAGTGTTCTGTGAAACGTGTAATCACAACAAAGAAGGTAAACACCTCAACAACCGTGGACACACATCTGACCCACAGCATGGAATTAATCTGCATGACTGTCATTTCTGTCCTGCTGCTTAGCAACGGCGGTGACTCTCAAAACAAAGTGAACAAGAACCCAGTGAGACTCGATAAGAGGACAGATAAGGTATCAAACTGATATTGATAATGGAATCAGAATCACTACATTCTTATCAATTCCCATCACCAGTAATGAACAGAGTGCTTCAGCAAAATCCTCCCTCTGTTAACATTTGTGTTGCTCACAATAACTCAATAAAATAAAACATAAATGATAATATTAAGTATAACCACAGGTTTTTTGTTAGCTTGCTCACAGCCCTCAGAACTTTCTAGGAGCTCATGTCATCAGGTTTCCTCTACACACTGTCAAGTAAAGCAAGTAGCTGGCATGTGTTAACTTTTATTTTTAATTAATTTAAAATTATATTTAAATGAAAAAATGTAATTTGTTTCCTTCTTCAGAAAAACAAACATTTGTTTACAGGGTCTAATTCAGATCAAGTGTAACAGTCCATTTCATGCACGTCCATCAGCTAAATCATCCTCTGCTGAAGCGCACCGAAATCTAGTTCGCTCTGAGTCACGTGACCTGGATGATTTGAACCACACTGAAACATCAGCACCTCAGAAGCTCGACACAGTGTCAAAACAGCAGTAGTGAGCTTCACATCAGTTACTAGAAACTTAGCTGTGAGGTCTCCTATGGCTCTGAACACTGTTGGAGTGGATGGTCTTATTTCAATAGCTACCTGACAACACAAAAGCTCTTGGACTTGCTGATAGTTGCCTTGTACCTTGTGATGCAAGCAGCCATTTCTTTAAAGATATTCAAATTCACCAGAACTCACCGGGACAACAAAAGAGTGCAGTCCGTGGCACACCTGATCAGGTGTGTAGAGCTGAGCATACACCACAGCATGGGTAGCAGTCTTTCCCAGGTTCCCCACCCAGAACTTTGCAGCCTCAAAGTCCGGAGAGTTGATCACGAACTCCTACAGAAGAGAAACAGAAATCAGTTCAAGTGAGGAGAAATTAAAATTCCTCCATGTGACCCTCAATTAGTCAAATGAAAAGTCAGCTATTAGAGACACACTGTATGACCTAAGGGGTGCGCTCTCAAATGCCCTCATAATTTTAAATTAAAATTTTATTTGATTTCATTATTTTATGACATGATCGCATGAAACGGCCAAAAGTCGACAGTTAAAATTAAGCTCACAACTTTAACAAACTTATATAAAAGTCTTAAAATGTAATGTGGTTGGTTGGAAGTGGAAGAGAAAGCTTAGCAACTTCTAGATAAGAGCCCAGATGAAGCATTTCTGGAGGGTGTAGCTGTAAAAGGGAGTTTTTCCTTCCCACTGTTGCCAGAGCGCTTGCTCAT